AGCGAAGTCCGTTGAACTTTCCTTTGGGGAAATCTGCATATCTGTCATGGATTCCATCTTTTCTTTTGATTTTCTTGAATAAAACTTTCAATACGAAACGATTACAATTTACGGTTGACGGGAAACGTTCGCTTCGATTTACTAAACGGATAAGCTGTGTGATTTACCGTGGCAATACTTTGCATTGTTGTTCATTTGCTTGTCATAATAACGATACGAATTATAATTTTAAAATACACAATTGATATGTGATCAGGTGACTTTCGCAAATTATATACGAGAACAATTCAATTTTTTCAAGTTATCAGCAATAGAATAAACCGAAAAATATATGCGTTGAAATAGTGTTCATAGTCAAGCTCATGGCGGTTTTTTTTTATTGGCTGGCTTCTTTATTACCGGTAATAAGCGGTATGCGAAGTTACTCGCAGAAACTCGATGGAATTATTTGAGTTGACCGTAATTTGAGTATTCGTGAGATATTTCATTTGTTGGACTTGTTAATAGTAGAGAAGTTAGAGCGCGGAGTGAGTTACTAATAATGAGTATTTTATTTATAAGGATGGATTCAGTGTGTAGATAATTACGTCTTTAATAGATTCAACGAAATCTAAATATCAAGTTTATTACAAATACAATGTACGTATATACACGCATTACGGTTTTTGTGTGCTACATAGTAATAATGGATCTATGCGTAAATTGTTCGAGCTAAAATTATCTAAAGACGGAAGTTTTATTCTGTTGACAGATTTTAATGTATTCTAATTTTTTTATATCTACATTAGTAGAACTAATACGAATGAAGTTATAGAATATTTTTTTCGAAAAAGCTCTTAATTCGTCTAAACATCCATCGATTTGGAAATTTATTTAAGTATTTAAAAAAGAAGAAAACATTAATAATTTAAAAATTCAGCAGTATGTCACAGGTCAAGAACCACAGACAAAAAAATAAATAAATATTGAAACAAAAATGAGAATCTAAAAAAATGAACCACATATTACATAATTTAGTTTATTTGTGGTCAAATATTCAACCGAAAAAACGATAAAAATATGATGTTAAATAAAATTAAATATATCTGAACAATATTCATAGTCAGTTAAATAATTATTAACGATGGATTGATGGTGAGAGCGAGCAAAGCTCGATCGAGCGATTGTTGTAACAGTCGAATTTCGAACAGACAGCTTTAACAATTTTAATATTAACAAGGAATATATAACAATTTACAATGATAATAGTAAAATATACAATATGGGGGAGCAGTTGGTAATATGTGATAGTGGGGCTACACATCGTATCACCACATTACTCCTCCTCGGAAATCAAAAAGCGAACTCGCTTTTTGGTAGCGTCGACTGCCTGAGCTGCGTAGCTGTGGTCGGTGGTCGAGGCTTCGCGTTGAATGAAGGCTGGTTTGAGTCGGTCAATGGAAATCCACGAAGTGGTACAGTCGCGTTAAACCTTGAACGTTTTCTCTCGACATTTCAGAACTGCATGTGGGCCCTCGTACCGTGGCTGGAGCGGCTGCTTGACTGCATTGACTTGGAAGAACACATAACTGACCTGAATGAGGTCCGTCGGCTTGAACGTATCATGTCGTGTTATGGTGATTCGAACCAGGAGTATGTCGTAATCGTCACATAGCGTCGAGTAGGATGGCTACCAGCTCGGGTGGTCGAGGTTCAGACCGAACACGATGAAAATACTTAACTGGGAGTCGCAGCGCTGTATCATAGACTAATGCGGCTGGAGATTGTCCGATGTCGGGCTTCAGTGTATTTCACAGCGTGAGTAGCACGATGGGCAGAGTTGTGGTCTAATGTGGTGACTTGTGAGCGGTGAGTGTGACTTTCAAAGTTCGATGGAAGCGCTCTTCCATGCCGAATGTGGATGCAAGTGACTGGAATAGGTCCGACTCGAACTGTCGACTTTGTGGTGATCTTATCGGGTACACTGATATATGCTATCCAGTTCGACGTTAGGAAGTGGGTGACTGCGTATGCGGATATATTTTCCAGTAGCTATGCTTCTGGCCAGTGAATGAATCTGTTGACGACAGTGAGCAGGTACTTGGAGAATCCCTTGGACAGAGGTAGTGAACCAACCAGGTCGATGTGGATGTGCCCGAAACGTTGCTCGGGTGGGGCGAAAGACGTAATACTGGTCGACGAGTGTCCGTGCACCTTGGCACGTTGACATAGTTCGCAGCATCGGGTCTATTGAGTGATTTTGTGGTTCATGTCCGGCCAGCAGTATCTCGATTTGATGAGCTTGGCTTGAATTCCGCCGTGAGCTTGACCGTGTAACGCGTTAAATACTCTACGCCGGTTTACGTACAGTACACGTACATACGTGCTTTGCCGGTTGAGTAATCCGCGTATAGTATGCCATCAGGTGAGACGCGAGGCTGCAGCAATGAGCTTCGAAAGTCATTGATGATAATTGCCTAATGCTACTGGTCAGCTGCCTGGTTGACTGACCATTGTCGTAGAGTGGGTAGTTGCTGCGTTTCAGCGACATCGAGTCTTGACAGCGTGTCCGGTACAATGTTGTCCTTCCCATAAGTATGCTCAAGGTCGTTAAGGTATTGAGACAGGAACGAGATTTGTTGGACTTATCGATCGATGATATTTTCGGACTTGAGCGTGAACATATAAGTGAGTGGCTTGTGGTCGGATAGAAGTGTTGTACGTCACCCTTCGATTAGGTAGATGAAGTGACTCATTCCCAGGTATGCGGCGAGAAGTTTTCGGTTGTACGTGTTATATGTTCGTTCGGTGGGAGACAATTTTTTCGAAAAGAAACCGAGTGGTTGCCACTTTTCGTCGACTTCCTGTTCGAGGACGGCGCCCACGGAAGTGTTCGATGCGTTAGTGCTGAGACGAAATGCTGCGTCGGTGCTCGGGTACATAAGTTGCGTGGTATCGGCGAGAGCTTGACGACAGGTGTCAAAACATATTCGAGCTGAGTCCGACCTTTGAAGCGGTCCATCCAGCTTCTTTATTTCGGTGATCATATCGTACAGCGGCGCCTGTGGTAAAAGTTCAACGATCTCAGGAAGCATTGGAGTTGCTTTTTAGTTGCAGGTAACGGCCACTTGTGGCAGCACAGTGGCGTATTTAGGAATTTTGTGAGGAGGGATGAAATATATATTATAATTAATAAACATGTATAACACCCATGAGGTCATATATTAGAATAAGAAACCATAGAATACCAACCAAGTGGGAAAAGACCTAGGGGTAGACCAAGGAAGCGATGGTTTGACGGGGTGAGACAGGATTTAAGAACACTGGAAGTAGAAGATTGGAAGGATATAGTATAGGATGGGGAGAGATGGAAGGCTTTGACGGTGGCGGCGAAGACTCTTGGAGAGTCATAAAGCCAAAAAGAAAAGAAGGTGAGGTCATAAATTGGTAATTGGCACAAAGTATAATACATATAAATAAAATAAAATATAAGTAAATTCTGATTTATTTAAATTTATTCTAGAGTATGAAAATTAAAAAATAATAATACATATTTCGATTAATTCGTTCGATTATAGATGATTCTTCTTTGTTTAAAACCTTAAAAAATGCTCAAAATCGAGAACTGCTGACAAATTATATTTACAGTTCATATGATTTCGAAAAACCTGGAAAACATTTTAATAGTTGTTAAAAAAGTAAATTAAAAAAATAGTAAGTAAATTACAAATTACAAAAAAAAAAAATTAGAACCTATTTAGCTTTTTTCTAACTTGTAAACGGTTCAGTTACTTAAGATTGATAACCAACACCACCACTCTTAGCAAATAAAACACAGTTTTTACAGAAGGCACCATTTTTAATTTCCGAATAACAAAGCCATTTAAATTCATGAAGTCACTTATGTTGAAATTTCAGTCCATGTTTTTTATTACTTTCAAGTATAGGAAAGTTATACTTTGTAACTGGAACTCACAGATTAGTAAGAACCTAAAACAAAAGAAGTAGCACTCAATTTTTTTATATTGAATTTATATTGAATAAGAATGTATTTAAATCAGAAACGATGTAAAAATAATAAGAAATAAAAGAATTTACAAGTTTTATAACCGTATCTTTTAAAAACGACTTATCAACAATATTACCAATATTATCGAAACTTATGACAGTGATTGGTTAATCACAAATTGGATTCTCCTTAAAAACCTAAAAAATATAATACTATAATTTTGGAAATAAAAAACTCAAAAATAGATTGGTACAAAATACTAAATTGTATTTAACATCGAATGTAATTTATAAATAATAAGTTTAAAAAATTAAAAAGGTTAAAAATTAAATTAAAATCAATAATAATATTGTGCAATCAAATAGTGCATAAAAATCTAAACAAATTAATAAAATAAAGACAAAGGACAATTTATAATTATAATTAATTACTTTATTAATTTTTATACTTACCTCATAATTTTCCAAACAAATTTTTTTATTTGTACTAAAATAAGAAAATTAAGTGTTTTTATTTTTTTTTTTAGTATTACTTTTATTATTTTAAAACTTCACTGTTAAAAGTTAAAACAAACAAGACGCAAAAAATAAAGTCTTCAAGAATTCAACAATAGTTAATAAGGCAGAAAGTCAGTACTTGGCCGGGTTAATCGCGATGTCGCGATATATTATATATTATATATATTATATTATATATAATATAATATAATATATATATATAATATAATATTATATATATATATAATATATTATATATATTATATTTAAATAATATTTATTGGCAGCGATAAATTGCACGATAGAATATATAGGAAATCATTTTAAAACATTGGATTTTAAGAATTAATTATTTAAAAAATATTTTTTTCTAATTTTTGTTATTGTTTAATTGTAAATAATTTTATAAACTGAAAAATAATGTAAATAAGTGTTTATTTTAAATTTGTTACATCAAATAACTGATATCAAGTTATAATTTAAAATTGTTAAGTAATTTAATTTGAAACATTTATTTTCCCAGAACTTCTATATATAAATATTAGAAAATAGAGTTTCATAGTAACTGACAATAATATATTATATTCAAACATTCGTTGATAAATCGTCGTCTTCTTCAAATTGTTGTCCAATTTGTTTTCTTAGTAAGTCCATCGTTTGCTGTACATTATAGCTATTTTCAAGTGTAACTATTGGCGACTCAATCAAACCTAACGAAAATTGAATTATTGTAATTATTGTATTGTATTATTATATTGTAAATTATTGTATTCAATATCAATACTTCAGGCGAACAACTTTCCAACCTTTTTTTAAACACTGTCTAACATGTTCTATTTCGTAACGCAGTTGTACGCTATTCGGAAACAATGTAGGTTTTCTTGTATTTGGTTGTGCAAACTCATAATCAGTCGAGTTAATCGTGACTTTCTTTGAAGCGTGGAAAAATTCATGAATCTAAAAACAAAAAATTATTTTATATTATCTTATGCAAAAGTATTTTATTAAAATAATTTTCGATGTTTTCTATAAATTAAAATAATGGCAACTCGCTAAATTTTCAGCAAATACCATTTCGACATCACTATTACGTGGTACCATTAATATTACTACAGCTAATCATATTTTAAAATTTAAATGGAAAATCTGCATTAAAAGTTTTATACAGACATTTTCAGATCAGGAATCTCAGAAATACCGAGAAACTTGTAAAGACTTTAGAAAGGTCATTTTGTGATTTTATTTTGAATGACTTTTTAAAACAATTTAACTTGATAATAAATGTACTCATTGATAAATGCATCCATCATTTCCGTTATCGTTCAGAATTCATGTAATCTGTGGTTAGCAACGACGAGGCAGATAATCTATGTCCAATTTTACTTGTCGTATTCTATTTGCATTTGTTAAATATTTTCATTTGACAAGTTACATTTCTTACATTATTTTTGGTTCATAATAGATAAAAACAAATTTATAAAAACTAAAATCAAAATTAATTTCTTTTTTAAATCTTAAAGCATACTTGATTATTTAAATATTGTGATTTTTACTTTATTACAGTAAATAGTCGAAATTCAGGAGCCGAATCCAGAGTGAAACGAACTTACAAGAGACTAATACATACCTATTTACTTCCACAAATACAGGTACGTCGTTTTTATTTTGAATAACAAATGCAATCCTAATAAAATTAATTAGATTTATGTTTCTTAGATTCTAGTTTATTTTTTAATATAATCTATTACCTTTTTAAAACTAATAATAATGAAGTAGTCTCGGGTATTTAAATAAAATTTGTCCATTACTTAAATCAATTTTTCTCCATTTAATATTCATTTAAATTATTAATATTATAAATTTATAAATTTAATTGCATTAGTGTTTTTTTTTTTTATTATAATAAATATTTTTTTGATTCATATGCATGAGTAATCTAGGCCTCAAGATACTTCTTTACATTTTTTATTAAATTTGAAAGTTTAATGTTTTTAATAATATCTAATTATGATTTTTAAGTACATAAATAATGATTAAAATTAGGATACATATTTATATATCCCCCAGCATTCGGTAACCAGGAAACTAAGCCTTTTTTGGCATACTTTTTTTTTATTAAATATTAGAAAAAAATTCTCGATAAGAGTATTTGATTATTGGTCTATGATACTAGGGCGTAATTTTAATATTTTTCCCCGGCGTAAAAATTTCTCGTTCCAACTCTATATATATATTAAATTATATAAATGCAAAGTTTGATTTATCCGTTGTAAACCGTTTATCTTATTTTTAAAATATTAAAAAAAAAAATTCTATTAATTCTTAAATCATCATTCCGTTATCGTTCAGAATTCGAAAATTATAAACAAAAATCATAATACCGAATATAGAGATTAAATTAAATGGACTTTAGAAAATAAATTCTGTAGCCCATCAATAGTTTCTATCAGAGACTGGAGTATGGATGACAGCGATGAATGGTTATACGGGTATATTTGTCATTATTCATCTAGTTTAAGTGAGGTTAATAATTTAATACTTTAATACTCATAAGTATTTTTAATTGTCGTAGAGACAAAATACCATCAGTTTTGAGTTTTGATACGTTATGACTTCAGGCGTACCTATAGCTTATTCAATGTAATATAATTATAATAATAGTGTATATATATATATATATAATAAAATTTTAATTTTCATTAGGAATGTATTTCTGAATTGTATGATTGAAAAAAAAATTTAAAAAAAATTTAAAAAATTAAAAAAAATAAAAAATAAAAAAAAATAAAAAAATTAAAAAAATTTAAAAATTTTTACTTAGCCAGTAAAAATCCAGTATTATTACACTACAGAACTAGCCCTGTGTTATTGGGTTTTGTAGAATTCAATGTACAGGGAACACACGGTTGACCGAGGATATCTTAGCATGTCCTGGATTTGTTCAATAATAATGTCTTTGCTGTTGAGTGTGAAATCCCACCAGTCAACAATCGATTGCGATTTGGAATTACCGTAATCATTCCGTTGGTGCCGTATATAAAAGCCGAACAGTTCAATTTCACTTTAGTGTGCGTCGAGACGACGGCAATCCTTCCTTCGGAGTACGTGAGGATAGCAGATACGTTTTCATCCGTTCCGTGACTGTTCATTACACCTTTGCTCACCACGAATTCCGGTTTGCCGGGTCCAAATATCGCGTCAACCAAATGAAGCGTATAGACACCGAGATCCAGTATAGAGCCTCCTCCTACTTCTTTTTTCCTATAAACATACACTGCATAATATAAACAGGTGCAGCTTTAATACTTATATAGGTAGTAGCAGTTGATAATAGGTCCCTAAACAACATAATATTGGAGTGAGATTCAATAAGCACCTACTAAAAAATTTTTTTTCTCGGTACACTCAAACTCTACTACAAATTTTAATTTATTTTCGCTTTTATATTTTTCCAAAGCCAATATTATCGAATTATTATTGTGTTCGTGTATGTAACTGTTAACAAAACTTATCACAATTTTTCAAAATACTTATATTTATTCGACTTTGATCAAGAGAACAAAAATTTTTAAACTATAGCGGTAGTACCTAATTCTATTAAATCAAGTCAACAATATTTCAAGATTATGATAAGAATAACATAATTTTAATTTAATTCAGGAATATGATTACTATGACTTTTCATGTTGGCTAGGTTGATTTGAGACCAGCGCACATTTAGGAGAGGTTCAGGGGGTAAGCTGATATATATTTGTTGATAAAATTGACCTCTTTGAAGACTTTTTATATTTTTTAAAACTAAACTCTTGAAAGCCCCAGTTTTCACCCTCTCCCTCCTAGATTATGCCACTAGTTTAATTACATAGTAAGAAAAAACATCTCTACCAGTGGGTATGACTGGTTTCCACAAAGTATACTTTTCCCTTTTCCACCAATTCACTTTTCCACTAAATGAAATAAGTCCAGTATTTGAATAAAATATTGACACATAACATACGTCAATACGTGACATGGTGCATTATTACAATATTGTTGGATTATTATTATTTTTTTTTCGTATATTTTTTATTATATAATAGATACATCTTATATTTATACGATTTAAAAATTTGTATCTCAAGTATAACATCAACCATCGCATTCAGTTGGTAAATATTAAATTTTAAGAATATAAAAAAAAAATTAAAACTAAAATAATTAAATTTAAATTAACTGAAAAATTAAGTATAATAAAAATAATTATGAATATGCATGTTTCGTTATGTCATGTAATGTAATTTATTCGAAAAAAAATTGGTAAGGGGCCCTTAATTATATTTCATCAGGGGTCCGTGAGCTACAAAAGATTAAGAACCACTGCACTAGATAGCATAATAATAAGAATACGCAACATCTAAAATTGAAATTCTTTGAGCGATTTTCAAATATTTATTGATTGGTACCAAACTTTCAATTAGGAATTTTTAAACAAAATGAAACAATTTTAAAATCTGAGACAAGTAAAAAAAAAAAAAAAAGTCACCTTTATAAGTGAGTACTACCCAAGTACATACATAGCCATCAGGCAAGTTATATTTCCTAGTATCATACGAGCTTTAGATTATTTTTACGGGCAAACATTTTTAAATACAAACTATTAATAAATAAAAAAATCAGTGCTTAAAACCGTTCCTAATAAAGTTGGTAATCGGTAAGAGCCGAAAATTTTTTAAAACCGGTAACCGGTTAACGTATAATTTTGATATCATGGTAATCGGTAACTGTTTCTTTAAGGATATTTCAAAAACTATAATAACCGTTAATCGTTTAAAAGCCGATGATAAGGTTTGTTGAGGATCGGTTACCGGTTAAAACCGGTTTTTAAAAATCATATTTTTCAATTTTTTAATCATATTTTTAAAACCGTTTATTTAGGCGAGTCGTGGGTTGATAATATAACTTTTATTATTACAAGATCAAAAACTTAATATGCTTTAATTTGGTCGATTTCACTCAATTTCAATATTTATTTATCAAACTGCTTTAAATTTTAAAACATTTTATGATCAAGATAATGATAATCGAAAAACTAAATTGCATAAAAAAATTGTATTGTTATAATTTTCTTATTTATAACGGAAAAAACCGAAATTAAATATAATAATTTTCTAAGATGACACTAAGATTGATACATCGCCACAGAACTTTTAGGTTATATTGTATATAATATAGTACCCCAAAAAAATGGATTAGCAGATATTAAAACGATAGTATTAAAATATTATAAATACTTAATGGACTAAGCCTCTATTCCACCAACTATTTCTTAATCAGGGCACCACGACGACGACGTTTATGACGGTATTTATAATGTATAGCTATACCTATATATATATGATATTCACAACAGATAAGCAATACTCGACGGCCATTAATTGGGGCTATTTGGAGATAATTAATTATAAAAAATATTTAAAAAAAATAGCTGGAAAATTAAATTCAACTATAATAGTATAATATAATCATGACATAATTCAAGTATAAATACCACGAAAAAAACGTTAATTATTTTATTAAGAGTTAATTAGTATTAAGAGATAACCGTGTTTCATGTAAAAGTTAATTTACCATCTCAGGTTCATGGAGGGGGGTTCTGACCCTCAAACCCCTATGGATACGCCACTTTATGTAATTGCATGATTTATAAAAATAATTTTTAGCTGACTAACATATAATAAACATAGGTTACTTATAATTATAATTTTACCAAATTCGTTCGATATTTGATATTGGTACACCGAAGTTGGCCTGTACTTTTAAAACTGCACCAATAGCTCCGTTTTGTATTTCTTCGAGTACTTTTTGATAGGCTGGTGTAAAACGACTCCACATGGCTTCCATCAGAAACAACCGTTTTTCTTTTGAAATCTAAATAATACTATTTTATACTGTACGTAGTTCACCATCGGAGTTTTTTAGGTTAAGTTCGTTACGATTGCGTATGGGCCTTTTCATTAACGTATTGTATACGTTCTGCCTACCCAAACTCAATTTAACTTTGCTGTTTTTCGCAACAGTAAAAATGAATAATACGAGCATAACTCATTTTAGGAAATTATTGGTTATATTTGATAATTTCATAAATGTTACTTTGACTATTAATCTCAACCTAATACTATTTGATAATCTATTATAAACTTCAAAGTTTATGTTCTGATACATAAAAATAAAGTTTTATAAAATAATTATATATTATAATTAATTACATAATTTATACTTATTTTAATGTTAGAACAACAAATGTTCCAGAGAGATTCCACAAAAATTTTAATGCTCAATCCTTTAACGTATGTTCATATAATTTATTATCGAATCACTGAAAAAAAATGTAGACTGAAATCAATATAAAAATATATTCAAAGCTATTCCAGCTAAGGATATCCAAAAAATTAATCATGTAATAAAAATATACGAACAATTCAAAATGGATGGGACCAGTTATCCATACCAATGTCTTAATTTATAATTTCTAACTTATGATTTATATTTTTGTTTTATTGTATATTATATATATCGTTTTTAATTTACAATAATAATATTTTTATTTATAACTAACTTATAGATTTGTCATATTAATTAATTAAGGTATTACTCTTTAAATAATAAGAGACAAAAATCTGGTTTACAAATATAATATTGGTAAAATATATTCGTCAACGAATATAGTATAATAACAATATTTTTATTATGGTACATATTGGCGACGTTGCACTTATTTTCGTAAGCAACCATAATGTTTTTAAAAGCTAGGTAGAGAAATCGTACACAATTATGCTAGTAAAAGGGACAACCGTACGCAATCGAATATCATCGTTTAGACTAACCCGATGAAAATGTACATTTTTTTTACCTTTATGAGTTCGTTGAGTTGTTTAGCATTGATGCAAAATGGTTTTTCACACAAAACGGGTTTACCACTTTCAAGCATAAGTTTAGTTAATTCATAGTGTTGGTGATTAAGAGCGCCGATGTAAACAACATCTGTTAATATTATTTTAGATTTTAAATACATTTATTACTTGATATCAAGCATAAAATATAGGTACTTGTTTGATTTGCATAATCTATTCTACTTAAATATTTTATAAAACGAATTATTGATGTGTAAATTTATAATATAATATTTTTTTTTTTTTTTGTTGTATAATAGTGCTACGGTCAGATAATTCGTATAATAATATAATAATATGACGTACCGACGTTGGCATCATTGCCGAGTTCTTCGTATGAACCATAATAAGTAGAAATCCCAAAATCGTTGGCAAAATTTTCTGCTCTTGATTTGTCTTTAGCAGCTACGGCCACTACTTTATGATCTTCAGCTGATAATGTTTCCAAAGCTAGGACGAAGTCGTGGGAGATTTTGGAAGCACTTAGTATTCCCCATTTCGTGGCCATAGTTAGCGAGATGAAAATTATACCTAGTCTATAAAATGAAATAAAAAATTGTGATAATCAGACAATATTTTGTTCACAAAATATATAGTAATACTATGTAGTAGAATTATACCATTATCAGAAAAATTTAATTTACTATCTATAGTATTTACAACTAATTAATTAGCAAACATATTTTAATATGAATGTAATATTGTTGCATGCGTTGAGACAACAAATTACGCGGTTAAGGCGATAAAACATAGCAATTGCAGTGGGGCAGCTAGGATTTTTTCAAGGAGGGTGTCCGCCAGTAGTATAATCTTACATATAATCTATATTATAATCTTAAAAATGCAGAGCAGCATGCTGTATAATAAGCTCTCACACATAGTTACTATGTGATAGTGTAGTATGAATGTGTGATGATTTTAATAAATCCTAGTATTAATTTATCGTCATCGTAGAAAAACTTGTTATTATATTAGTTGAAATTCGTGAATTAAAAAATTGAATTAGGTGTTTAATCGAGATAGTTTTTTCACCATAACATGTTAATAAGATTATATTCATAAATAAAATCATTTTTTTAATCAAATTTTATGTTGTCCTGAACATTGATGGTTGTTCTTTTAACTTTTTTGTGACCAAATTTTGAGTTAAATATAAGCTACGTTTTTTATTGTATATTATTTGACCATTTTATTATTTTCAGGCACATCAAAGATAATTTTTTAATTATAATAGTTGTTTCGATTGAAATAAAATTCAGAAGAAAGAATCAAATGTTATGTTTTTAATTTGTGATTTTAATACAAGAGTACCTAACACTATCCCTTATCTTTATGACACATTTAATTTTTAATTAAATATAATTTGAAAATTTTAGTAGATAAATTAGATAAATTACAGCATATTATAAACAAACATTTCTCAGGAGTCATCTGTCGAACTGATATGAACAATAAAAAGTAATTTCTATAGCGATATAATTTATGTTTATTGACAGATTTGTTACAATACTTATAGTTATGTAGAGAAAAAGCAAATAAAAAAAAGAAACAAAATAATAATAATAAGAAATGATTATTACGCCGATTGAATAATCTAAAACAAAAACCCGTAGGCAACGAAAGTCACGTTGCTCCTTGGTTTACACAGATTTGTTGAATATTACTCTACATTCGAGTAACGTTAACTATTGCATACTATTCCAAAGTACGGAACAGCAATAATTTATAAAATACTAAGTACAAATAACTGCATAATGGTATATTATGAAGTAGGGTTATATGATTTTGTTTAAATATTTAATTAATAATTATAATTTATTCAACTACGTGTATTATAGTTTATTTCTAAACAACGAAGTATTTCAATATGAACGACGGCGAATAATTCCATGTTTAATCATATTTATATAGTTTAAAGAAAACATAAATAAAAAAACATTGTTTAATTCATTATTCCGAGGTAATTAAAATATAAAGGTATAAAAAATAACTATTTACTTTTACATACTTTTAAATTTTATCAAATAGTTTTCTATCTTATTATAGATCAAAAAAACGTTAAAAATTTTTATAACATTATTCGTAACTAAATTTATAAACTTTGTCAAATATTTAATTTACCTAAATTAGGAAATAGTACAACATTGTTTAGATTAATATAATCGGCCATAGTAGTATATTTACGAAGGAAGATTTAACATAAAGTTATTTAAACGTTCTTTAAACGGAATTCTGATTCAAAAGTCCTTGACTTTGAAATATAATTGATATTATCTTATCTATGAAAAAGAACATAAATATTAAAATTGTGTATAAGTAGATATGCAATTATTATAAAAAATAAAGAAATTCAAATTAAATTTGTATGTTTGAAATCTATGATTTTGATATTCGTAAGGACATTTTTTTAGTGCAGTGGTTCCCAACTTTCTTAGTTGTGAGATTCACCAATTTTGTAAACTATTTTTGAGGCCCACTAACAGCTAGGTATATATATACACATATATATATATGTAACCTATCAAAATCTATATACATGATGTACGCACAAGGAATGCTAAGCGTGTCCGGATACTTCCTGAAATGTTGTAAATGGGACTTTTAAGTCTTAAAATTTAAGTCTAAGAGTAAGGGGCCCGTATTTTAATTGATGTGGCTTAAATTACATTTAATTTATTCTCAAAAATTTAGTGAAAAATAAATGATGTCCCGTAATGAAAAAAATTAAACTAAATTTTCTACATTTTCGTGCTAGAACTTTTCATGATAATATAATAGCTACAATTGATAACAAAAATACGAATTATAAATGAAGTTATCTTAAAAAATTATATAAGATTTAAGGAAAACATATTCATTGGGACTAATATACCACAGTACCAAACCAAAATTAAAGACGTTAGTCATTATGGTCCACGGCTCATGGGTTGGGAACCGCTGATTTAGTTTCACATAAAAATAGATATTAGACATTAATATTTCCAAAATGTTGTGTAATTTTATGTGCAGTGTTACTATAAATAATCCGTCATCAAATACAATCATAAACTTCAGAAAAATAGAAGTAAACACACACACACATACACATGTAATTCTGTGTAAATACAGATTAAGAATAATATGAAGATTAATTTCCTTAGATATTTGAATATTTTTGCTACCAAAGTTTTTAATTCGTCCTCGAGTAAAAGTCCCAATGCGATGTTTAAAAGGCCTAAGTATTTACGAGTAACAATAAATTAATTTTATAAAATATGTTCGTTTTAAACTGTGCATGAATATTATATTATGTATACCAATAGTATTACAGAATATTTTAGTTAATAAAAATGGATCATTAATACTCACCAACAATTATAATCAAACTGTCGTTCCGTTATCAAAAAAGTTGGCGAAACCGTCACCGTGCTGTATCAACGAACACGGTCATTATCGAACACACGGCGATCGCGCGACTGAACGTTGAACAACAGTAGACTTACAATAACAAAACATTAGCCGGTAAAGTAGGTATCTACGAGTACAAAAATAAAAATTATAACATTCTATGTAATAACTCGTAGGTTGGCTACACTAGTGAACACGAGTAAACAATGCAAATAATATTTAATTGTTTTCGTTTTCTATGCTCGTACAGAAAATGAAATCCGTGCAACATTCGTCGATATAAATCAACGAGATTAAAATTATTTTACAATTTAACTACTCGCAATTGATTATGAGTGTATTAAGTTTTGTGTAATCAATTATTTCTGCAATGTAAGAGTCTTAAAGTCTTAGATTAGAAGTTCAACCTCCAAAACTTTCTACAGCTACCTTGAAATACATAAAAATATTACGGTATTAGCTACAATAAGAGTCCCAATGAATTTTGGATTATAATTGATTACAGTTGCGTATTGTAATTTTGGTGACGACATTCTTTGCTTTGCAGGCTAAATGAAAAACTTTAAGCATAAATAAACCGATTAATAAATATCGCACGTTTTTCTCTAATTATCTAAATGTCGAATGACTCCATAAAAAGTCTTAATAAAGTAATTCGATAAGAACTTCGTAGTACCGAAAATGATTTATATCAGAGCCGTACCGAGCCATTTTTTATCCTGAGGCAGAATTGAAGCAATGCGCCCCCTAGGTTGTAGGGTGTGTTCACACTTACAGTTTTTAATATGTATAATACGATTCTGAAAAATCTTAAAAATTGTAATTAGGTTTCTAGCAAAACAAGAAATAGCATTTCTTAAAATAAGTTAATTATTTAATATTTTTGCGTCCCTCAGCTTCAGGCGCCCAAAGCAAGTGCCTCGCTCGCCTCACCCTAGTTACGGCTCTAGTTAACACACCGTTCAATCCGATGTTTGATCACAAAGTCTGTTCAGTTTTTACAAAAAAAAAAAAAAAAAAAATCGCCAACAATTCTTAAATCACTGGAATAATCAAAATTTTAATTATTTAACTCATATGATACATATAAAAACCAAAATAAAAATAAATTTTGGAATGTTTTTGACTAGGAAAAAATGTCAAATATACTTGTCCAAAATATCTCAATGTATTTTGCTGATGGCTCATTTTTATAGTAAAATAATATGATTAGCTTTATACGACACATACGAGTAGGTACGCTACCAAAAAGTTTTTATACTCCTTTAAAAGTCCTTTCAAGCACCCATATACTTCATTGTTCCGATAACTATTTCTATTTTTTCGTGCTCGCCGTTTCCATGTTACTAGTTGAAATTGTTACCAAAATAACCGTCTAAGTACTCAGTACCGTAACTACTCTTTATGACGTATTTTATTTTGACGCTTATTTCATATAAATAAACTAATTTTATTTAATTCAAATTCGCCTACTTACTTTTCTACGCATTTAGCAACCACCCATTTCGCCAATTTCTAGCAACGGCACCGCTAAGTACCTCCAAGCTAGGTGCAATTTTTTAATATCCCAAAAATTTACTAGTCAAATTACAGGTAAAATGTCGGCGAATATTTTCTCCTCCAGATTTTTAACCATTATAATAATACCCTAATATGATAAATTCCAGAAACTCCCTCGTCATATGGACCATTTAGTCTACTACTATTCTTCTCGAAAGTTCTCGAAGCATTGGTTCTTAAATAAATTCTAACGTAAACAACTCCAAAATCACAACTGTCATACAATTTGGCTTCTATAACCACCATTCTATAATATCCATAAAATCAGGGCCGTATTAGCGCATATGCACTATAGGCACTGTGCCCCTATTGGGCCTACGAACATTTTTGAGCCTATGAAAATGTGTGACTACGATTTATATTATGCAAATTTATATAAAAATTTTTTTTATGTTTTTTGACAATTTATATTATATATGTTTTAGATTAAAATTAATTTTTTTTAACATTTGTTAAAACTTTTATCGTATACAAATGTATAATAGTTATCATATAAAAGTTTAGATTTGATTTTTATGTTGTAAATATTATTGCTTTTAAAAGCTTAGAAATTCAATACTTCGTCTCCCAAAGAGAAGGCTTACTAAACATTTAAATACTAGACAATGGCCCTGCAAGGACTAGGAGCCTAGAGCCTACGATAGTGTTAAACCGGGTCTGCATAAAATAAACAGGATAATTGACACAATAGCATCATTAGAAAAGGTTTTCCTATGATTTCATTTATAATATTCCAAATTTGTTTGGTATTGGATTTAGAGCTTTGTAATCTGTTTTGATAGTATAGTTGTTTGGATTTTCGCAATAATGAATTTAATTTAATATATTACTGGAAGAAATATAATATTGTTTGAAATGAGTATCAAAAGGTCTGATTCTTAATTTAACTGATAACTTTTTTGGTCTATAATTTGTATCAGAAAAAGATGAATAGTTAAAAAATTCGCTAATTTTAAAGTTAAAAAAAATCAACTGTTGTATCAACATTATTATAGCCAAACATGAATACCAATTTTCTGTTTTTATTTGTAAGCCTAAATGAGTGGTGTCTATTTTATCTGGTTTTGTATATTTTTTTTTAGTATTTTTATCGTGTATGTATAAATCGGACAACATTAATATTGTTGTTAAACCAGATCTCAAAATATGAGAATTAATTTTATTTGATTCAATATTATTAGTAAAAATATGGTTATCGCATGTTTTAAAATGATTTTTCTCAAGTAAAATTATTGATGCATGGTAAAAATCCATTTTTAGCTATTGTATTTAAATAGTTATTGCAATTATTAGAATTTTTCATTATGTTAATATTAATGTCACCGCAAAAAATACTTAACATTTTCTATTTATTTGAGGTAAAAATAAATCTTTGTAAAAAATGTTCAAAATCATCAGTAGCGTGTCGAATATAGGTCTAAATGAAGCCCAGGCATCAAGTTAAAAAGGGGTGGGTAGTTGTTAGATAATATGTAAATCACATAATTATCGTATATATTTAGGTAGAGAAATATTGATGTATGAGTTCTGAATGAGATGAATTTAAATATGGGTGGGTGGGTGGATGGTAAACTAGACTTTGAAATTGGCATCAAAAAAAATTTTTATCTCGGCACGCCATTGATCATTAGGTGATCTATATATGCAAATTAGTGAAATTATTAGGATTCCAACTTTAAGTATAAATATACTTAAAATATATATATATTGATAAATATATAGTTAAAGTATAAAAATAATTAAGAATACATTTACTAGCCTGAATACATTGTTATTTTGTTTAATTTTCTCCATCAATATTTAGTTGCTTATCTACCTATATTGTATTATTTATGTCAGCCCCATTCTTAACTTATGTTATAGAGAAAATGTAAAAACGCAAATAATTACCATTTAAAAATATAACTAATATAATATATTGATTATTTGTTATTTCTCCCCCCCTGATTTTTTTGGGGATAACCCGTTTGGGTGCACTATAAGAAATTTACCAGAAAATTGTTAGCACGTTTGGGCGCATATATGAAAACACCTTAGGGCACAATAAACACTGTAACTAGTAATCGAAAGTCTTGTGTAATCTTATTTAATAAGTACTTAATCGTTTAATATATAGAAAATATAGAAAATACTACATCAAATATCGCTTTAGATATTTATCTACAAGTACAGATAATATGTTCTGTGTGACTGTTCGCCGTTTGATAATTTATGTTCGTTGCAGTGTATTGAGCTCTCGTGTATGTACAATGTGTTTTAACATTGAACACTTTACTAAAGTTTTGTTTTCAAAGTGTTTTAAAATATTTCGTTTTCAATAATATGGAATTGAAAATCGATAACTAATTTGAAACTTGAAGAGGTAATTTATGTATTATAATTTACGGCTATAAATTTAGAAAAAAGTAGGAAAATGAAAAACGAAAAGTTATGTTTTAGATTAACTAATCATAATTGTAAATCAAGTGCAGTAATTTGTAAATATATTGAGCAAATAATAGACATTAATAATGAACACAATTATCCACCTATTTCGAACAGTATTATTAATCGTCAAAAATTAACATCTTCATCAAAAAGAAAAGTTATTTCAGATATATTTACTAGACCTAATAAAATTATACGTTAAATATTACAGACGACTGTTATTATATATCTCACTCAGATATTTGTCTTATTAAAAAATCTATGTATGAAGCTAGAATGAAAAAAATACCAATTCTTCCAAAAAATATTGTGGAAGCTACAGAACAAATGTATAACCATTACATTTTACATTACATTTACCATTAATTACATTACATTAACCATTACATTTTCTGTTACACAGAACAGTTTTGTTACATGAAAACCACTGATAGCATTCCAATTTTTACGTGCATTTCTAATTTAAAATTATTTTGTGAATCAAATCATGTTTTTGCGGATGGCACATTTTCGTATGCACCGAATTTTTTTTTTACAATGTACACTGCCCATGTTTGGAAAAATGAATTTTATGTACCGGTAATTTATGCATTTTTAAAATCAAAATCAACCGAAATGTATTCAACATTTTTGACTACGATTAAGAATTTATGTCTAGACATACTTGGTCAATGTTTAAAAGTTAAATTTCTCCGCTTAGATTTTCAAAAATCAGCTCATATTTCGGTCAAAAATATTTTCTCTAATTGTCGAATAATTGGTTGCCGATTTCAGTTACACCAAAGTTGGTTTCGTAAAATACAAAAATGCAAACATTTGTTGAAAAATTATACCGAAGATCAGATACTGGGATTTGGCTTCAACATTTTTTTAGCTTGAGTTTTTTATCGTCTGATGAGGTTGAACTTGGTTTTGTTAAGCTTATGTCTATAGCGCCGCCCGATGTGACTAACTTTAATGATTATATACTTGACAATTATGTATTTGAAGATACTAAACTCCCTAAAGTGTTCTGTTTTGGGTAAACGCGCTCAAACGTATTTCCCCCCATTTTTTTCTTCTATTTTGGCCAAAAAATAGAGGGAGGCTCATGGTCCTTTCCCCCTTATGGTAGCGGCAATGTTTAAAATGTAAGTGGGTGGTCTGAATGAAATGTGCACACCTAATATCAATTGTCTCAATCCACCACTGGATTATCATTTATCATTCGTTGGAACGTTTGGGCGGCGTTGCATAACCCGAAATATATAACAGGGAACTCGAAAAATCGAAAAAGGGTGTCGTAACCGTGGTCTTTTGGGCATGACTCGGTTCGATGGGTACTTGATGATAAGCTCGTACGATACTAATAGTTTTAATAAAAATTGTTTTCAAACAGAAACTTAAATGAGGGTGTATATAAAATATTACAAATTTAACAGACCTTAGTATTTCATCGGTTAGTGTATTTTATAATTAAATTAAATTAATGTACTGGTATATAAAATATACCAATATGGTATATTCGTTTATAAAAATCATTAATATTTAAATAATATTTTTTGGCGGCAAACAACAACGGTTGCAATACAGATTATATGAATAGTATGAATTATATTCATGTAATCTGTGGTTAGCAACGACGAGGTAGATAATCTATGTCCAATTTTACTTGTCATATTCTATTTGCGTTTGTTAAATATTTTCATTTGACAAGTTACATTTCTTACATTATTTTTGGTTCATAATAGATAAAAAAAAATTTAAAAAAACTATATTCATGAATAATTTATTTTTTTTAATTTTAAAGCGTACTTGATTATTTAAAAATTGTCATTGTTTACTTTATTACAGTAAACAGTCGAAATCAAGGAGCCGATCCAGAGTGAAACGAACTTACAGAGGCTTAAACATACCTATTTACTTCCATAAATACAGGTACGTCGTTTTTATTTTGAATAACAAATGCAATCCTAATAAAATTAATTAGATTTATGTTTCTTAGATTCTAGTTTATTTTTTAATATAATCTATTACCTTTTTAAAACTAACAGTAACGAATTAGTCTCGAGTATTTAAATAAAATTTGTCTATTACTTAAATCAATATTTCTCCATTTAATATACATTTAAATTATTAATATTCTAAATTTATAAATATAATTGCATTAGTGTTTTTTTCTTTTCTTTATTATAATAAATATATTTTTGATTCACATGCATGAGTAATCTCTAGACCTCAGGATACCTCTTTACATTTTTTATTAAAAATTGAAAGTTTAATGTTTTTAATAATATCTAACTATGATTTTTTAAGTACATAAATAATGATTAAAATTAGGATATATATTTATACTTCCCCCAGCATTCGGGAAACAGGAAACTAAGCTTTTTTTGATTTAGATGCATAATTTCGAAAGTCAAGCATTAGAATGTAGAGTTTTAGAAAGATAATATTTAGAAAATCTATATTTTAGAATATGAAACTTTTAGAAAATCTGTATTTTAGAATATAAAATATTTTCAATCGTTTATTATTAACTTATCCTAGTATATATTAATTTATCTCCAAAATTCAAAAAGAGCAACATGAAACTGAAGCAACAATCGAATCGTTGATTTCAAATAAAGTAGGTATTCAAGAAATGAAAATACAATGAAACTATGTAAACGAATAGTTGATGATTCTAATTATAATTTAGATGAATTTACGAGTTATTGTTAATAATTTTAAATATTAGCAATTATTACATTTATTTTTTACTATAAAATAATTATTAGAAAACAATATATATGAGAGAAAACAGCATAAAAAATAAAAATATTTCTAAAAATTTAAATTCTAAGTTTTATTTTCTAAAACACAGTGTTTTTACAACTTGATATTCTATAACCCAGCATACTAAAATATGACTTTCTAAAACCTGCCTCAATACCCCTTTTTTAACATATTTTTTTTTATCGTGATTCAGAATATTTTATATTTTATATTTTTATTTTTTATATTTTTTCAGAATATTATTTATTTTTATAAAATATTATAAATTTTTAATATTTTATCCATGTTTCAAATAACAATATATTGTTATATTCAGGGCCGGCATCGTTATAAATATATTATGTATTTTTCATCATGATTTATTATATTTACTCGTTGTAAATCCAAAATAATGCATATTACATTATTTCGCCTGGTACTGATCTTAGTATTTCATCGGTTAATGTATGTTATAGTTAAAATAAATTGTTGTATATAAAAAACATAAACCATTAAATAATATTTATTGGCAGCAATAAATTGCACGATAGAATATATAGGAAATCATTTTAAAACATTGGATTTTAAGAATTAATTATTTAAAAAATATTTTTTTCTAATTTTTGTTATTGTTTAATTGTAAATAATTTTATAAACTGAAAAATAATGTAAATAAGTGTTTATTTTAAATTTGTTACATCAAATAACTGATATCAAGTTATAATTTAAAATTGTTAAGTAATTTAATTTGAAACATTTATTTTCCCAGAACTTCTATATATAAATATTAGAAAATAGAGTTTCATAGTAACTGACAATAATATATTATATTCAAACATTCGTTGATAAATCGTCGTCTTCTTCAAATTGTTGTCCAATTTGTTTTCTTAGTAAGTCCATCGTTTGCTGTACATTATAGCTATTTTCAAGTGTAACTATTGGCGACTCAATCAAACCTAACGAAAATTGAATAAATTATTGTATTCAATATCAATACTTCAGGCGAACAACTTTCCAACCTTTTTTTAAACACTGTCTAACATGTTCTATTTCGTAACGCAGTTGTACGCTATTCGGAAACAATGTAGGTTTTCTTGTATTTGGTTGTGCAAACTCATAATCAGTCGAGTTAATCGTGACTTTCTTTGAAGCGTGGAAAAATTCATGAATCTAAAAACAAAAAATTATTTTATATTATCTTATGCAAAAGTATTTTATTAAAATAATTTTCGATGTTTTCTATAAATTAAAATAATGGCAACTCGCTAAATTTTCAGCAAATACCATTTCGACATCACTATTCCGTGGTACCATTAATATTACTACAGCTAATCATATTTTAAAATTTAAATGGAAAATCTGCATTAAAAGTTTTATACAGACATTTTCAGATCAGGAATCTCAGAAATACCGAGAAACTTGTAAAGACTTTAGAAAGGTCATTTTGTGATTTTATTTTGAATGACTTTTTAAAACAATTTAACTTGATAATAAATGTACTCATTGATAAATGCATCCATCATTTCCGTTATCGTTCAGAATTCATGTAATCTGTGGTTAGCAACGACGAGGCAGATAATCTATGTCCAATTTTACTTGTCGTATTCTATTTGCATTTGTTAAATATTTTCATTTGACAAGTTACATTTCTTACATTATTTTTGGTTCATAATAGATAAAAACAAATTTATAAAAACTAAAATCAAAATTAATTTCTTTTTTAAATCTTAAAGCATACTTGATTATTTAAATATTGTGATTTTTACTTTATTACAGTAAATAGTCGAAATTCAGGAGCCGAATCCAGAGTGAAACGAACTTACAAGAGACTAATACATACCTATTTACTTCCACAAATACAGGTACGTCGTTTTTATTTTGAATAACAAATGCAATCCTAATAAAATTAATTAGATTTATGTTTCTTAGATTCTAGTTTATTTTTTAATATAATCTATTACCTTTTTAAAACTAATAATAATGAAGTAGTCTCGGGTATTTAAATAAAATTTGTCCATTACTTAAATCAATTTTTCTCCATTTAATATTCATTTAAATTATTAATATTATAAATTTATAAATTTAATTGCATTAGTGTTTTTTTTTTTATTATAATAAATATTTTTTTGATTCATATGCATGAGTAATCTAGGCCTCAAGATACTTCTTTACATTTTTTATTAAATTTGAAAGTTTAATGTTTTTAATAATATCTAATTATGATTTTTAAGTACATAAATAATGATTAAAATTAGGATACATATTTATATATCCCCCAGCATTCGGTAACCAGGAAACTAAGCCTTTTTTGGCATACTTTTTTTTTTATTAAATATTAGAAAAAAATTCTCGATAAGAGTATTTGATTATTGGTCTATGATACTAGGGCGTAATTTTAATATTTTTCCCCGGCGTAAAAATTTCTCGTTCCAACTCTATATATATATTAAATTATATAAATGCAAAGTTTGATTTATCCGTTGTAAACCGTTTATCTTATTTTTAAAATATTAAAAAAAAAATTCTATTAATTCTTAAATTTTTTGAAATTTAGAAGATTTCATGATTTTTTAGTTATGATTCATGTTTATATATTGATGCATAAGAACATTTAAACATATATACTTCATAAGCCATAAACAATTAACAATTTAATATTTATTATGCAGTAAATATCTTTGAAATATAATATTTTTAGCTACTTTTTTGACTTGTATTACTAATTGTTAGAAAATTATTATTAAGAGGAAAATATTATGATTTAAAATTGAATACATTTTGAAATTTAAAACCATTCAATCAGATAAATAAAATAAAACTTAAATGATATAATAATTTTGATGAAAAAAATAATTAAACATCTTTTTAATACATAAAATTAAAATTAAAATAATACAGTTACATAGTTAATCATAATGTATTTTCATGTATGTATAATAAAACAATAAGTTGCAAAAAAAAAAATAATTGCAACAATAAGTTATAAACATTATAAAAGTTTGGTGAACAAAAATACTAGTCATAATAATTATAACTTAAAAATAAATAATAATTATAAATCCACGGAAGAAAAAGAAATGTGAACAATAACAAATGTATATAAATAAAAAAAAAACTCAAAAGAAAATTAACTTAAACTGTAAAATTGTAACAAAGTATAAAAATAGAAAAAAGTTATAACATTAAAAAAATAAATAATAAAAGATCATTTATGATTTGTATAAAATAATTGAGACAAAAAAAAAAAAAAAAAACTCTGAGTAAGTGAAAAAAACCAAAACAGAAAAAAATGTAAACAATGAAAAAGTGAAAAAGGTAAAAAAATAATTAACCCGGCATCAGTGGCATCGTTTAAAAATACGTGAGAGGTGTCATCGGTTTTTTTTGACCGAAGAATACAAAATTATACATATCTATTATTCTAACTAAAATGATTAATATTATTATTTTTCATGTAAACATAATATTTATTTAATATGCTGTATATTTTACTTACATATAATTTTTTGTATTTCGTGTTTTATAATTTTCAAGTAATGAAATAAGTTTTCAAAATCCCAAAAATAACCAAATACTTAATAATATTAATAAATAAAAAATTATAAATAATTTCATTCATCAATACATTTATTCAAAATTAAAATTCTGTAGTTTATAAATAAAATTATAAATTGTAAAAATTAAAAATAGATTTGATTTAAAAAAAAAAATTATTTTATAAAATGAGTGACTTTACATATATTTGTCTGAATTTTCAGTTTCGTCTACTACCATGCTTCTAGAACATTTGGGACATGCTGGTACAATATGTTTTCGGCAGATGGGTGAATTACAATGAATACAATGAATAAAATTTTAGATAATATTAGTCAAATGTCAGTATAATCTTGGAAGAAAACAATGTTGAAATCAAATGAACGAAAATAGTGACATTGGTCATTTTGATCGTAATTTTATCAATGAATGGTATAAGTTCATGTTAACGATATAAATTTACATTAAAACACAAAACAAGTACTGTTCATGGATCGAAGAAAAGGTACTGAGTAGAAAAAGACGGATATGGTTCCAACTATAAATTATTTAAGAAATTAAAAAACTGTCGGTCAAAAAAATCGAAGCCACTGATGCCGGGTTAAGAGAAAAAAAAAATCTTAAACTGGAAAAGAATTTTAAAAAAAAATAGAAACAAAAATATATTGGAAAAATTTTCCCGAAGTCAAAGTTTTTTGGAGGTCAAAAAATGTGCAGTTTTCTCCAAATATGTGGAATAATCACCAATGCCATTGGAATGTGACCACCAATTTTTATATCCGGTGTCCAATTCTACTTTTGTAGTGATAGCAGGTCCAAGTGGCCTGTTATCCTGCAACATAATTATAAGAAAACTATGTCAGAATGAGAAAATAATTTTTGAACTTAATTCAATATAACGTTGTTAAAAATAATTGTAATATAACCAATGTCATTCCCCCCTCTACATCTCGGGGCAATCCTGATGACCGGTCTGCAACTCGGCCTTTGCGGTTCTGCCTTTGTCTTTTTCGTTTACTCACGCAATCTTTTCGCATTGGTCGCCAAGCGGAATTACACGGGGCAAAATTGTTCATCCGTGACGCACGTCTGCGTTACACACGCAACGATCGTTTTGGTTGCTGTTATTCGGGTCCGCCCAACGGAGGCGATGTCACTACTGCATGTGTACGAACCCGGTCTAAAATGTTGAAACAATCGCCTACATGGAAGTCGATTTTTTCATCGACTCCGTATATTTGGGAATTTCGCCGTGCTAATTAAATTTTAGCCAGCTCAATATAAACAGCGATAACTGAAAAAAAAATACAAAATTATAGCTCGAACGTCAAATTATACACAATATAAATGTTATATTAAATGTTTAAAATTGTTAAAAAAAAAAAAAAAAACGTAAGCCTTACCACGGCGACATGTCAGAGCTAGTTGTATGGCATCGCCAACAGCACCACAAAAAGGATCGACGACTGTGTTGAACGCGCATCTTGACGCTATGTGTACCGCGAGTATTTCGTGGCACACGGAAAAGAATTTTGCTGAATAATGAAAATTATGTGTTAGCAAATATAATTAATTATAAAATGACCTGAAAAAAAAAAATTAAATTTCTCGAATTGTACATACCATTGACCAACACAACGCCTTCGTCGAACCTCGAGAACAAAGAGTATCGCCTCTTCCAATACTTTAACGTTGCGGTCAAAGTATTGGTCTGAAAGTGTAACGCATAAAGAAGAAATGATTAAATGTTTGTGTTTTAATTTAAAATATAGTTAATCATAATTGTTATTGACTTTCGGTTTCTCCATTGTCCTTGGGTCTGTGGGGTTGGTGACGGGCTCTTTCGTGGCCTCCGGAGGCGGTACGCCAACTTGGTTGACTGAACAGTAATTCTTCTTCGCGGGTACGACCCACGCGGGCGTAAATATTTCCGTTTCCGTTGAACAGTCGATGGTTTAATTCCAATGTCAGTGGTTTGAACTTCAACGTCGGAACACTTCGGTGTCGTCTGCGATCCGAAATCGCGTCGACCGAAGTTCCACTCAGTTTGTGTGAACGCGTCACACCTGACCACCGACTTCTTCGGCATGGCAAAACGCCGCGGGAGGACCAGAACACCAGTGGCAGCAAACCCACTCGCCACCGCTCGCTGCTGTCGGCTTCCGTATGTCCTTGTACCGGGAGTTTTTCGTGGCTGCTGTATACGAAAAATGTATTACAACACGGGACGTTCAATTGGAAAATTGTCAGTTTTATTTGAATCGAACAACAGAGATGTTTTTTGTATAAGATTTTGCTATAAACGACCTGCTTTTTTTTGTGGTCAATCGGTCTCGTCAACTTTTTTCGGCCATGGTGATTTATCTAGTAACGCCCGACGTTTTTCGACAACATCCAACGAGTTTCCACGACCGGTTTGCATATTCCTAACAGTGACGTAGGAAGGCCTCGTAATTTTGAAAATTTGCATTTCTCGCTCTATGACTGGTAAATTCATCGATCATTTCTTCATATGAATATTTTATTTAAAGGTCTTTCTACCATTTTCATAATTTCATCATTGAGTTCACACGTAATGTGTAAATATAGACAACATCTACATATTTCAAAAAATATAATGGAAAATTTTCAATTTGACTGTAGGATAAAATTGCAATTTGCACCCCTGGCGTAGGCACAATTCGTCATACCCTTGTTACGACACTGTTTCGTATCTAGACGGTACACGATTCCTTGTTTAAACGCGGTCAACTAATGACTACCAATACTATAGTTATTTTTCTTTTTACTTTCTATATATAATATAAATGTTTTTATGTTTTGACCGAATGTTAATAATCGCTGTTCGCGTGTTAGGGTATTAAAAGTATTCATCATTATTCACGGTTTTCGTTTTGGTCTCGCCTGCAGTTTATACGAAATAGAAAATATCGTACAATAGAACTAGATCAAACCGGCGTAACGTGACAAGTGTGTGACAACGCAGCAATGTTTAAGTGTTAGATTGTATTCAATAAATAATATAGAATACTGGTGACGATTTTATTTTATTTTTATTAACGTTTTAAATAAATCAACATAAACGAATTAATAGTAAAACAACGATGGTCATGACAGGTAAAGTTTCTACACTGGACGACTGAATATGTCTATATTTATCCGTATTCCTTATACGCTTCTGAGTCGCTTCCATATTCTTCGTTTTCTAGTTTTCCGTCAACTAGTTGGTTTTGTAACTTATGTGTGTACGGCTCAAGAATTTGCGGATTCCGTTTACATGATTTTTTTTTGTCGTTGATTTATAATTTATCGATTATATCATAATTTTATAATATTTAAATAGCATTTTTTTTTTTTTATTATTATATGATAATTCCATATATATTTATACATGGCAAATTACACCGCTATTAATTTGTATTCGTTATGTCTACAATCTAAACGATTTAAAAAAATACATATGACAATATGACATTAAAAATTGGACATAGATCGTTTTTAGTTAGGTTAGGGGTTTTCCGTTTTTCAAAAACGTTATTGCTAATCTCCCTCCTCCTTAAAACACTGTCATCTAATTGCTGGTGGTAATAGTCCGATGTTCATTGTACCTTTCGCCAGTGGGAGTTTCCCGTTTCCGCCAAAATAATATTGACCGTTTCTGCTATAGCCCTTTTCCGCCAAAAACGAAAAAGGTACGATTCCCGTTTCCGCCAAAAGTCATTTCCACCAAAAAAGTTTGGAAATCATTGGTTTTAATTTTTAAGCAATATTGAATATATATTCGGGTATGTGTAAAAGAAATTAGTAATGTATACACTGATAATCGTCGATAATAACGGTACATTGTTCGATATACTGTATCATAGTTTATTTATAATTCGCACACAATAATTATCTGACAAATGTTAAATTCTTATACTTCCATTCAGTATCTGTTCTTTTTGTCACCAGAACACTTAAACGTTCTTACTTACTTACCGTTCTTAAAATGGAATTTGCTGTAGGTAAAAGAGGTAAAACAATGTTGATTTTTGATGGGTTTAAATATGTTATTGGTTATACGTCACAAACAAATGTAACTCGGTGGAGGTGTTTTATGAAAAATTGTCGGGCCAATATTTTTGAAAAAGAAAAAGTAATACTTGCAACGGAAGGCACGTTTTTTATCTACGAGTAAAATAAATATATTTATTTATTTATGACAATATGTGTTTTTTCAAAACTCTGTCGAGACAATATTTGACCTATCCTTGTTTTTTACTTTATAAATAGTTAAATAGAATGGACATATTATAATATGAAATGATGTAATATTTTAAAAACTCTAATATAATTGTACCTATATTCGACTAATATATTATATTCGAACAAATATTGTATTTAAAATTGTTTAATCGCCATCAATATATAAATACAAAAAAAAATATGATCATGAAATTCTTGACATGATTAAATGATTTATACTATTATAATTTATATTATTATAAAAAAAATAATATAAACAAGATATCACTTGATGATTGTTAACAGAATAGTTTTCCGATGAACTTAACATCTATTTAATATTTATTGGTAGGTACTCATGAGGTTATAAATAAATATTTACTATAAACAATCGCTGATACGTATAATAAACAAACTACAAATAATTATAATGTAAGTATAATCTATTTACATAAACCAAATTGTAACATTTTAAAGGTGGTTCGTAATTAAATACGCATGAAATTAAATACGAATTTCATTTTCGAGGTTTTATCGAGACATTTTCTTGGATGTTTTTCGATACGGATAAAACAGTAGTTTATTGATTTGAATTATATTATATTATTTTGACATTTTTCTAAAATAATCAATAGCATTTTTACGTAGCAATATTTTTGATCCACGAACGGCTAATATACTATGCATACATAGTTTTACAAAATTATATTTACATTCAATTACTGCGTAACTAATTTATTTTAAAATGTTAATTATTCAAGAACTGCACTTCCTTATATGGTAAATGCGCATATAATCATAACGTTTAACTATTAAGTATTATAATAATGTATTGCAGTGAACAATTTTACAAGTACGTGTATAAACGGTAAATTAAATTTCGTTTAAAGTGTATTTTACAATATTAAAGTTCTTGGAACATAGTTTCAGAAAATGTATAACAACATTCGTGAGTAAGTATACTCACACTCATACACACACATACACACATACAAATATATTTACATCGCGATAGTAATAAAATGGGATAAAATGTGCAATATTATATATATATATATATCATTATAATATATTTAAATATTATTATTAAAGTATTACATTGACTGTACTTGGTAAATTACATTATTACCTAGTTAGACGGTTCGTCATGACGTAAACGCGGAGAACTAACGAACGAGATTTATCGCATGGGAAATCGAGAGAAAATTTAATATAATATAAATATACACGTATGAGATCAACATTTTTTAGTAAAATAGTTGTAATAGTAATAATAATGAATAAAAATACATAATAATATTAATAATAACAATAGTAATAATAATAATAATAACAATATCATTTAGCGAAATCGATGAAATTTGGTCGCATGCACATGAGGTCATGAGGTTATATATTAACATTTCTTATAAAACATATGGTCATATGGTTATATCATACATATTTTTATGGGAGTAAACATTGAACTTAACACAACACCTTTTTTTGCCTGCTTTTTGGTATCATGCTCTTGATTGGTATCAAACTTCTTTCGTTACATTGATACGCACTGCATAAAAAATAAAATTGTTATTATTATAAATTTGTTTTACTTAAGTAGATGATTAATAAAACTTCTTATTCTTCTGTAATTTCAGTCGGGCTTATGGATGAGAATTTTCTCACGGTTTTTTTTTTTTTTTTTTTAATGGATAGATTATTAAATAGTTTATGTTGAATAACCGATCGGTACAGTTTAATTTTGGTAAAGACACTGATTAAAATTCCCGATAATATATGATATTGTCTCAGTTTCGACTAATACACAATAACGGATTTTTGTTCAAACTTTAAAGTATGTAAATGAAAAAATGAAAAATGAAATTTGAATTGCTATACCGAAAAGGACAAATAGTTTATCGGATATCATTTGAATAAATATAGTTTTTCGTAAAGAAATTGATGTACGGGGAAGAAATATGATTTTTATTTTATTTTAAAAAAGTCACGAACAAGGGTATATGATTTATATTTGACAGCCGATAAATGATCGATGCACTCGTGCAACCGAATTCCTTAAGTTTTGGAATAAACGACAACGTCGAGAATTCGTGATCGACCGTGATGTTGTTCGAGTGCAGGTATACGTATGCAGTCAGTTCGTTGTTAGTGCGGAGCGTAAAAGTCGAACGGAGAAAACGAAAAAACGAAACGTAACGGATAACGAAATGTCGAGTAGCCGGAGTATCGGTTCGCGGGGCCGATTACGGCCGAAAACTATGGGCGTCCCGCGATCAAACGTGGGACTGACGAAACCCTTTCGTTTCGATCGGTCGCGTTACGCTGCCGGTCTTCGGGTGAACGCGCGACGACCGCCCACTAACAGGACACGTTCTCCATCAGAACGGTGGGCGGCGAACTGCGCGCGTCCGGCCGCCGTTCGGGCGATCGACTTTCCGCGGCGGTGGCGGCGGCTTCGGCTTCGGCGAGCGACTCGCGGGCGGGCGGTGACGGGGGTGGAGAGCTGGACGACGTTGCGGACGACGGGCTGTGCGGCTCGGAAGACGAAGTGTGCGCGACGACCGGCCACTGGTTGGCGGCCGCGGTGCACATTATCCGTTCGGAGAGCGCCTTGTGGATGATGGACGAGTGATGGTCGTACGGTGACGCGGCCGACGACTGCCCATGATGATGGTGAAGTTGTTGGTTATGGTGAGGCCACGGCAGTCCGAGTAGGATCGCGGACGCGGCCGCCGGGTTGAACACGATGCTGGGCCAAAACTGTTCGGGCGTGAGGAACGGGAGCGGACCACCACCGCCTCCGCCTCCACCGCCTCCGCCACCCAGAGCCGACGGCGGCAAACAATCGTTTCTGAACACTGGAAAAACAAACAAGGACGAATGAAGATTTTTTAAAGAACAGTAAAAGAAAAATTAATACTAATAGATATTCATAAAGAGATTGCTGTTTATGGGACACGCGATGAGGCGCGAAGACGAATTACACTATTTACTAACCGTAGGCGCATGGTAGAAAGAACATGATCTAGAACAGCGGTTCTCAACCGTTTTGAGTTCGTGACCCCCTATAATGTTACCAATATGTCTAATGACCCTTTTGTAATGTAAGCATTGAAAAATTTTACAAAAAAAAAGTATATTATAAAAGCCAAATGACGTTAATTAATGGAAAAAAATAAATAAAAATTATGTAATTTTAATATTTTGTTAATTTAATGACTCTTTTTCTGTTGATGATTTGAAATAATTTTTTTTTCACATGATGTGACCCTAAAAAAGTTGTTGGCGACCCCCCCCCCCCACTTTGAGAATCGCTGGTCTAGAAGACACAGTATATATTAATCGAATAATGAAAGGTTCACTTCCTACAGGAGCTTAAATAGAAATCGACAGGGAAACGCAGAACGGAATTTGTTATACGCCAATCTCTGGATTGAGATAAAAAATGTAACTAAAATGCCAGTGGAGGAAGAGGAAGAGGTGACGACTGTATTGTTATTAAAAATGATTGTTGGGTTTGTATGATCCACCACCGCCAGAATGAGCAATATTTCATCGTACGATTTATATCGATTTATGTATACATCTTTTTCTTTTGTACTATTATAATTTTTAAATATGCTTTAAATCAGGGCTTCAAATCGGTTAAGACCGGTTTTTTTACTAACCGGTTTTATTGGAAAATGTGTATGAACGAGAACAAAAATGGAACCACAATTACTAATTTTATAGAACGAAAACGAAATAGTTAACCAGAAAAATATTTTTCATTCTCAAACGGAAATAAATACATTTTTAATTATAAAAAATAATTAATATTTAATTTTAGTTTTTACACATTTTGTTGTTGGTCAGCCTGTTTTGTTTGACAAAGTCAGGTAAAAATTATTAGATAAATATAAATTAATTCACAAGATAAAAATGAACAATTGGTAAGTGGGACTATTGGTAACCCCACACTACTGTAGATAATACGTGAAGACGATTAATGACAACCAAAAACCACATTGTTTATTATTACAATACCGCTTTTAATGGACGATGGTGTTATCTTAAATTGTATCAAGTATTTGTAAATTTGTTCAACATTTTGAATTAATATGGGTTTTTTTTAACTTTCTTTTTTATAATAAATATTGCAGTTATGTTGTTCATAATGTGTGTTAGTATATTTAATATTGTAATAAAAACTTAAAAATGTGTATCATATTATTTATTGTATATTAATATAGAAATTATGAACTTATTTCAAGAATATCTCAATACAGTCGAATTTTCTAATTAATAATTTCATAATTATGATAATGAATTGTCTGAGGTATAAAATTGTTATAAAAAAATGTATTTTTTTAAAAGAACAAAATTATCCGATTTTAAAAAACTATAAAATATAAGATCAATATTAATCATTTTTTAAAACCGAATAAAATATTAGATTAACTAAAACCATAAACCACAAAAAATCATTATGAAACTAATTTACCTACTTTAACTTACCCTACTTTAAATACAATCTACAAAAAAGATGCATAGTAAATTGGATAGGATTTTATTATAAAATGGTTGGTTTGATATTGGTTGGGGGTTCAGTAATAGTAGCTCATATTTAAATTAATAAGTTCTGAATGGGAAAATTTTTTTTTATAGGTAAAAGCGTATCTTAGTGATTTTCCTTAAAGTATTCTCGATGAGTTGCTTTGAACGGTGCTTTATGACATAGGTACAGGTAAAACGGAGTTTTCTTGTTTCACCTGGTTACTAATTCGTTTACTGTTACGATAATTATGCAATGCACTTGTATGTGTTTTAATGTTTTTGAGGGATTGGCTTGGCCCCAAATTTGAATATCGTAAGACCAGGGGAGGAAATTATAATTGTGTATTAATAGATTGTTTTTTTAAATTCATATGCAACTTAGGTATAATTTAAACTATGAATAAACTATATCAGTAATAAAAGTTTGTGGTGGCTTGTGATGATATAATGCAGCGAAAAACTAAAAATAACATTTAATTCATATTAACTATTTGTTTATTCCTATTTGTTTCTCTTTTATTATGCTCACACATAAATTTTATTTGTTGTAAGCTATGATATTTAAAACAAAAATACAAAACATATAATTAAAAAAATTATAGTATGAAATATGGCTAGGGTGTGCTTATAATAATATATTTTTAACGCGCACCTATGCCGTATGTTATTTTGTTCAAGATATTTCGTTATACCGACATCAATCAGAGATTTGGTGCATTTAAAGGTTAGGTTATATTTATATATGATATACGAAAATACATTTTATATACCATGTTTAAATTAATACTTCGGCTGGAAATTTGCTTCTAGTAAATAATCAATATTCAATAAATTTCTCCAATAGTAATAAAATAATTATGATAATATTATTAGTCGACACTCGACAAAGAGTATAAATACTCAATAAATAAATAATCCGAAAAAATTAATTTTTTTAAATGTTCAACAATTGTATAAAGGAATGGGAGTAGTGAGCAAAGTTCAATATGAGTAAGACCTAATAATATAATATAATATAAATATTATATATTTTTATAATATAAAAACATAGAATCCATCGGGATGAAACTCGTTATTGTTTTTATGTATTATATTATAGTTTTTGGTTAGTAAAAAGTGGTAATATACAAATAGTTTATAATAGTTTATTAAACAAATAGTGTATATATAGAAATAAATAAAAGCTTATCTTGGAGGGTTATTATATTTGTAAAGTATGATCGTTACCAAATTAAAAATTCATTATCAGGTATATAAAAAGTTAAAAAAATTATGACTGAATGAGAAAAAAATCTGAGTTTCGATTTTATTGTTCATATTCAGTTGCAATTTTATTAACTTTATATATAGCTACAGATGAATTTTTAACTTGAAACCGGTTGTACTTTAGAAATATAATAATAGTCCAGGCTAATCTTTAATTGTTTTATTTATGTATTTATTCATTTCTATATATAAAATATTTGTTTATTTATTTATATATTTATTTATTTTTATATTAATTTATATATTATTTATGAGAATTAAACATTTAAATACTTTTAATTTTAATTTGATTTTTTATTATTTTATCATGATACATTTAAACAAATATTAAGAGAAGCCGTTAAAGTATAACACAGCAAAGACCGTGCAACCTTATGCATAGACGCTTGACTTATATAAATAAATCGTGTTACATCAATGTGACGTTAAATAATTAATATTTCATTTAAAAACTAACAGATGGTAATTCGTTGATCGGCAATGAATTAATGCTAATGGTGTTTTAATATCAATAAGAGCAGAGATATTTTAAATATCAATGTTCTAACACTGAAGCGTTACAGACGTTTAATTGTAAAAAACATGATTCTATTGGGATAAATTATTATTAATCAACATAAGTTTAAATTGAATTGTTATATTTTATAAAACTACATCAGATTTATTTATTATTTATTTATTTGATTTAGATTCTTCTATAATAGTACCCGGAGGATTGTTATTTTGTTTTTTTTTTCGTTTAAATATACGATCGTTTTGATTTAAATTAATATTATTGTAATACACGAGTAATATTATACTATATTAGGTATGTTTATTGGTTTATTTGTAGGTATATTTATATTGATATTGAGACTAATGTTAATGGGATATTTAGTGCTTGGTTAGCCATGTACCGTTATACCATTAACATATATGAGTGCATAATACTGTAATACTATTATTTATTGATTTGTACGAGTGTCTACGATTCATGTGATATCTATATGATATTATATGTGAATGAATAAATGTATCATTATGTTCTACAAATTGAAAATTAATTGTGTATGAATTGAAAAAAATAGTTTCGATATAGAATTATTAAAAATTATGTTTCATTGATAATTTTTACTGAGAAATATATATAAATATTATGTAAAACGTGTTTAAGACATATACATATATGTATATATATACCTATTGGCTATTGAAAATGTATTCAAATTCAAAATTATTTTGTATACTTTTAGCAAATGAAAATATTAATAGAAAATTAAACTAGATATACATTTAAAATAAATATTATATTTTCATGAAATGGTTTGGTCAAATTGATGATAACTACATTTATTTAGTAAAAAAAATATGGTTTGCATTCAAAAATTATTATGCGTCATTATATGTTGTTATACTATACTATGCAACTATTCAATACTTACATGCGTGGTCTGGTATGTATGGATTGGACTCTCTGCCCATTGACTTTTCCCGTTTTCTCCATTTAGCTCTCCGATTTTGAAACCATACCTACACAAAAAATACATTATTATATTATATATTACAGGTACCTATAATTTATAATACTAAATTTCTATAGTTATTCAGTATTAAAATTATAGTCTTATCGAACGCAATCACGTATTTTATAACTGAACGATTTCATCGGAAAAATAAAAATAAATTCTTATTTTAAATTAATATTTTTATCGAATTTAATTTTATCTTCACGATATTATACCATATTATATTCAATAATATAAATATATTATCTTTCTGTTATATGTATGCATTTGTTGAAAATATAAATGAGACATTATAAATTAAATATTCTATATTGAAATATTTACAGAAAAATAAAAATATAAATGGTAAAGACAGGACAAAAAAAAAATCATTCTCAAAACCGTTGTATTAATTCGATTTTAAAATATTTTTTATTTAACGCTAAAAATAATGAACTCACTGGTAATAGTTCATATTTATTCAAAATAAGTTAATTTCGGAAGAAATATTAAAAAAACGAAGGCGATGGTATGGGAATTAATTATGAAAAAAATCAAAAATTACAAAATGTAAATCGTTAATTTGTTGAAATTACGCTTAGGCAGGTAACAAATGCTGTATATATTACCGCTCACCAGTTATTATAGACGATTACATTTTATTAACAATATGTACGATGAACACTGTCTGCCGCGCGCAGTCGATACGAACCGACCATCGAAGATTGTTTATCGGGGGTATAATTAATTTAGTTTGGCTTAACGGCGCGTGTGCTTGGAAACTGTAGAGTAAGAGGGTTAATATACGAATACAGTTTACGGATGGAAAGTGTAGAGAAGAGGAGTGAAAGAGAAAGAGAGAAATCCCTTTTTTATTGGTCAGGTTAAAATATTGACAATACACTTAAAACGGGAGTTTAATAAACCGGTGGAAGTTTCGGCACCCAAAAGCCATTGTAGAACGATCCGTCGGTAGCGGCTACGGCGCGGCGTCGGCGTCGTCAGTCGGCGGGGTGGACACGTGGAGGAGGGTTAATGCTCTATTTGGACGTCCGATTGGGGTTGATTGTGCGCGTCGCGCGCGTACGAGGGTGTGTTGTGCAACACAATGGGACTCTCCCTATACATATAGGCCATACGAACAATGCACTTAAATGATCGTTAGGAAATTAGAGAGATGTTAAATCGGTTGTCGAGAAATTGCACCCCAATTAACTTGTAATTCATTACCGGGCAGACCGCGCACGCCGGGTTTTAAGTCCATCTCAATTGGTTTATTGAATCGTTTAAAGAGCGAGACAATCGACAGTGTCGAGCAGGCGGCCTAGGCAATAGAAAAAAAAGAGAAAGAAAGAGAGAGAAAGAAAAAAGAAAATTTTGACGTATATAATGTAGAGATTTTGTAGCCTCTCTCTTTTTTTTTCGCCGTCTTTGTGTCCGCTCTGAGTGTTCTGTGGTATACTATTAGCGTGGTGTTTTTGTGCGACTATACTTGGAAAAAAAAATCTATTAATCTGCTTCCATTGTTTTCAACTGCTTTTGGAATTATTTAAGTCTTACATCGTAAATGTAGTAGATTTAAATTAAGCTGTTACTTATATGATTCCGGAACAAAAGGATAGCCATAAGAGTAACCATATACAATTAAGACTCAAAATGGAACCCTTGGGGCGATCGTATAAGAAAAATTGTATACATATGTATTTGAAATAATGAAGTAATTGTATCGTTAAAAACAGATAATGTTAATTTAATCATAGTACAAGGACAACTAAAAAAAATTATTTTTAAAATTGTATAAATATACGTGTGTAGGTAAGTTTTTTTTATTGGTACGTAACTAAAGTTATCAAAATTTAACTGCTTACTACTTCATAACAATATATTGAATTAATTAAAACATATTTTGAATCAGAGTTATAACCTATATTACTTCTATTATACAATATAAATTAGAGAATTAACTATTTTAACATAATATCTCGATGGATAATTGAATGTATTTCAGACTATTCAATGAAACCTTAAAGATTATATCTCATTACATAAATATTTCTTCATATTTCACGGCTCCTTATATCAATTCGGATTAATAGGATTTCAAGCAGAGCGAGTAATATGTTTTACAACGTGACACTTTTATTTTTACGATAAATACTGTAGCAATTTAGAGTTTTAATATTTTGGAATTCTTATAAATTAAAAAAAATACTAGGTGAGACAATTATATTCACTCACTACATTTACATTTAGATAAAATATATATTATTATTGATTAAAGTATAGGGTTATACCTAGCATTGAAATAAGTTTCAAACACCATCAGTACATTTTGTTAATTATCTTTAATTAATTTGGTATTAAAATTGAATTTTCAAAATTATTATAATGTTTGTTTATTCAATTGAATTATTCTGTAATTATAGACTGTACTTAATATAAATACTCAACTGTTATTTATCACCAACAAAATGCAAATGCGCAAACAGTGTTTATTATAGGATGACAACAAGTAAAAAAGATTTAACCAGCAAAAACACAGTGACATATTTAGGAAGGTAACAATTAAGGCTTCTTGCTTTAGGCGCTGTTTGGATAACAGATGCTCCAGTTTCGGTAGGTTGAGTTGGGTTTATTTGAATATTAAAGACATCGAGAACATATTATTCTAATTTTTTGTAATTTATACAGGTTATATACTGTATAATGAGTTTTGATGGAAATTATTGGGTAACAATTCATAAACCCATTGCAGCATTGTACGTCATTATTTTGAACATAAATATTCACAATGAAAATAATAATATACTTTGGAATAAAGGTGTAATATTATTTAATATTAATATTGTTTAGACCATGAAAATTGTTTTAACGTTTGAATTTAAGTCAAATATTAATTACGTTGATAAAATTAACAGCGACAACAATCTTAATTTTGCTACAGAATCCATTTGTTTTCAACTAAATAAGTGAAGCATATGATCAATAATACTAGAACGGTTCAAATACAATTATTATTGTATAATGCATAAAACTTTATTTTATATTATTATGTCTTAATACATTTTGACTGTATTAATTCAAAGAGGAAAATTCTTACGAAATTAATAATGTAGATACCTTTGAATAGAATCAAAACACCGACTACTGAACGAAATAATACATATTAAGTTTACAAATATAATTAAAATCTTATGAACAATTTCACCTGCACTCTGGCTTCACTGAGATCTAATCGTAACGCAAGTTCTTCTCTGGTAAATACATCGGGATACTGAGTTTTCTCGAAAGCTCTTTCTAATTGATGTAATTGGTACGTGGTAAATGTTGTTCTGCTCCGGCGAACTTTTCGAGGTTTATCGTCATCGTTTTCATCGGACCGATGTAATGATGAAACGTTTCCACTGGTGGCGTACAAAGCGTCCAGTTTTGATTGACAATGAACACTATTATTGTCTGTAAAAATATTTTTAGATAATATTTCAATTTCTCTAATTCGAGTATAAAAATTATTTTATTTTTTATTATTTTTGTTGAGTTGAACAGTGAAACTTTTAAATTCGCCCATAGCATGGTAGAATAATATGTTATCATTGGAACGAACTAGTGACAGAAAATAATTGTTGGAAAATTGTAGACAATTTTTCTGAGGGCTATCAGGAATAAAGTCTAAGTATAACGGGTAAATTAGTATTAATTAATACTGCAGTAGATAGTACTTTAAATTCCAATCGGTTTAACATTTAGATGATCAGAGTGTATAGAACAATTCTGTTTGGATATAGGTGTAAATAATCTTTAGAACATTTTAAATGCTTTTCTTATTTTATGTAAGGATGTTTTTAAAATAAATGTCCATTAAACTATGATATAAAATTAACGCCAACATTCGTAAAAATGATCTGAAGTTAAATACTTTGAACATAAAATATGTACACTAAAAATACAAAAAAAAATACGATAGAATGGTTTTCAAAATTGTTAACGCAAGTTAACAAGTTAGTTTGGTTCAATTATGAACAATTAGTCGTGAATAAAAAACAATTTCTTATTTTATCTTAAGTACGGTGACCGTGAGTATAACAATTTTATAAGTTCGCTAGATAAATTAATGTTTATTGTATTATTGTTTTTATCTTCCGATCGATACAAAAAAAAAAAAAAAACGATCCGTCCGATACAGCTGTTGTTGCAAACGTAGCGCACTAAAGTTCTAGCACAAAAAAAAAAAGAAAAAGAAAGAGTAAATGATAATCGCATTATAATTATTATTGTATACACCAAGGTTACAAATATAATTGTAATCTCTCTGGTTAGTTTCACTCGAAATCTTATACCGTAAACGCGCGTTTATTGTTGGTGCATTAAACTAGGGCTGAAAAAGGTTATCAAAACAGTCTGAAAATCAAACGTCTTCGTCGTCGTGCAGAGTAGCAGACAAACAATAGTAACGTAAGCCCATTACGAACGTACAGGCTTACACCCGTCCGGCCATCGTCCCTCATTACCACGTTCCGATTGCGCGTGCATAGGTATATGTTGGTACACGCGTGTAGTTTCAACGCGAAACGCGTTTCCTGTCGTTGCGGGGGTGGTGCGCGTTGAGGGTAAAAACGAAATTTTAATAATTACGCGTGCGCCGTATCACATTGTACTATTATTATTATTATTATTCCGCTGTACACGAGCACGTACCTAATTACGAGCGAATGTCTGCAAGACCCGTCGAACACGCGGCGTCAGCGGCTGCAACGTGTAAGCACACGTTGTACGTCATATAATATTATAATAATCGTGTATTAAAACGGTGCTGAGCCGCTTACGCGAAAGTTTTTGTTATTGCGCGTTGATTGTATAATGCAACCCTCGTCCCGCAAATACATATATGTAATAATAATCGGCTTACAAAATGTTCGGTTTTCGAATCGTGTGCGCGCGTGCGAGTGCGCGGCTATACGTGCGTACATTTATATCGATATACGAACCTAACCCATACTACACGAACGTTATTATACGATTATACGTTTTTTTGCGCACGAAATATACGCGAAACGGCGGCGGAGTTTCGACATTTCAATGTTCGCGCAACAGATACGAAATTCATGTACGTACGTACGTGCGTTCGTCCGTTTTACACCCGTTGTAGTCTCCCTTCCCATCTCCGTCGCACACATGCCGGCGTGCGACTTGACTTCCGTCGAAATCCAACGGGTTTCCCGTCCCTTCCGGATTCACCATACACCCAGCAGCCTCCACCAACACCACTACCGTTATTGCTCCACCATCACATGCCTACTTCAAAGTTTTTTTTTTATTATTAAATATAAGTGTACACGTATAATGCTCACCTGCGTGATACAATATTATCGTTATTATTTTATAAGAGTTAATAAATTACGTTTTCTACAACTACTTTTTTGTCGTTGTTATTTTTCATACAAAAATATTATAACCCTGAGTGGAAAAGATTATTGTTTTTCAAAAATTTCAATATAAAAAGAGTTAATTATAAATACAATTATCGTCGATCATTCAAGTTGATTTTCTTGTGTTTAACTATTAGAAAATAATTTTCGTGTAATTGAAAATTAATTAAAGTATTCATTATGTATTTTGAGATCAAATATCAACAACTTGATTTCAGATTTAATTATTATATACGAATGAAAACCATATAGAAAGGTACATGTGAAAAATATCTATAACCCATAATCAATTTTCAATTTATTAAAATCATTGATGTTGTTGAAATATACCATAAGAGTGAAAATACTTTATTTTAATTTTAATGCACAATGTATTAACATAATTCTTGTGATATAATACGATTTACAGACTACAAGTATGTATGTATAAAACGAATTATGTATTGTTAATTGTTTTAGGTTAAATACAGGTGTATAAGGAATAAATAATTTGTTAGCATATTCATTAAACTAAGCAATTGAAATATTATAGTTCAATCGTTAATTTCAATTGAGAACGAAATAAGCATGGTTTAATCTTTATTAATTAAATAAATTATTTTAGTTCATGAATCATTTACGATTTTAATTTAAATTATATGCTCGTTATATCAAATTCAATATTATAATATAACCTTTTAATTTTGAATCTAATAATTACTGTTTATTTCAATATTTATTGTGAAATTTTGAACGGCTTTGATGCTAATATGTTTCGTGTACCTTTTAGCGTATTAATTATAAATATTTTTTCAGAATACATTATAATTAAGTGTATTTGACCAAATCCACTTAAAATTGAAATTCCAGTACTGAATTGAATTAATGTTTTCTTGGAAACCGATAAACATAGGTATAAGAGAAACGAATAATAATCGATAAAATAATTCCTGACTTATTTATTTTCAAATTTATTTATATTACAATTTATTATAATTACAATTTATTTTCAAATTAAGTAAAAATGAGTAATTATTCATATTGTACAGCAAACATGAAAAGTATTTCACTGAATAACGTGATAAAATATTAGTATTCTGATATTTGCATTTTTTAATTGTTCATCACATCAAATTTAAATTTGTTAATATTTATAAAATCATTTATTGATGAAAAATTACATTATATTGTTGTTTTAATCGATTTATTTAGAATAATTCTGTTTTAAATAAAAAATAATAAAAATGGTCTTTGAACAGAACACAAAATGTAATATAATTTACTCTTTTCATGATTATTTAATAAGTTTTTACTACGATTCTGAATTGAAGTGCATGTATTACTTTCTTAATTTATTTTTTTTTGAACCGCAAAGATCCAAGTACCAAAGTTTATTTCTTTGGTTTGCTAAGACATTATATTATTTATTTAAACACAACTTGAAATTGGATCATGTTGGTTATCAATGTGAACGAATACTATTATAACTTAAACATATTTTATTTAAGATTTGATTTCCATTCACAAATGATTTTTTTTTGTTTCTCCTTTGATTTAAAATAGGTATTAATTAATAACTTACCGCTTTTCGACGGATGAGTTGTGCCGAGAATTTGATCGATGGAGTAAACGTTCCTGGCTGTTTTGGTTGTATCCATATTGTGTCCTCGTGATTGGTGATGCGCAGACAGATATTATTATATTATCAGTTGGTTAGTTTGTTAGTTAAACACTTTTTAACGACGGCGTAATATCCTTATCGAAATTGAGAATGCTTTCAACGTGATCGCGGTGATGTGGACCTTCTCTCACATTCACGATAACTGAATGACACATGGTGCGTTGGTCGTATCTAACTAAAGGGACCGGCGGGTGCGTGCGTTCTCGGCTACCCTTCACCCCTGCGCAGCCCACAGTTTGGGGTGGTTTCGGATGGAGGGCGGATGCACATAGCCACGGTCGCCAATCCCATTGGATACGTCGCCCTACCCACATGCCCTGCGCCCCGTATAATAACCGCTAATAGTCTTGTAAACATTGATAGTAATAATCATAATAATCATAGTAATAATGATACATAATCATAGTAACAATTATACAACATAATTCAGTACACCCGCTTTTTCGCTCTTAAATGTAAACGACATATTTATTATATTATTAATAATTAATTAATTAATTTTTAGTCTTATTACACTTAATTTAATGTATACCAAAGTACAATCAAATTTTATGGAACACGTTTGTATTTAATTTTAAATCTGTTTAAATATGTATAATTATGATTGTCATTAAAAAAAATGAGTCGATATAATATATTTTACATACTTTAATATTTGTACATTTTATCTTAACATTAAAAACATAAATAGATTGTCCATGTATTTTAGGTGCAAAAATGTAAAACAAATATTTAATAATTATTTAAAAGAAATAAAATTAACTTAATTTTTGAATTTTTTACATCACTTTTCATAAATTTTAATATTAAAATAAAATAAAAACTAATTTGGTTTTATTTTTATATAGTTACATTTAACAAAATATAATTTTTAATGGCTGCTAAAACGAATAGTCCTTATTCTGCACTACGATTTAAGAAATGTAATTTAACCTTGCATATTAACTATTCAGCTTATGATATAGAAAAATGTGTATGTATTTACATTTAAAAATGAGTAACAAACGATAAATTATTATTTATAAATGTATTTTAATGTTTTAAAAATGTTGGATGGTCGAATTACACTAGGGTAAAAAGTAGGTAGGGATCGAAGTGTACTTGTTCGAAAGAAAGTTCACATTTTAGGCGGCTTTCCACTATTCCACTACGTGCAGAAAAATAATTATAGCTAACATAGCTATGTTGGATATAGTAATATGTTCAATAATTTGACCATATAAAAATAGATATACGTATATGTCCATTATTCTGCTTTCAGTTATTTCCATACATCCAAGCCCGTATCAAGGGGGGGGCAGAAGGGGCCATGGCCCCGGGCCAACAACGGATATCAAACAATAATGGGCCCCTAGTGGATAGTAGGTTTTTTCGTTTTTTTAACTCTTTTTTTAGTTCGTATAAAAAACAAATATAGAACGAGATATTCAAGAAAATTTAAATAGTTTTATGGTTTTGTGTTCAGAGAGTGATGTTTTAGAGATAATTAATACCAATGATATTATTAAAAGGCTTGTTTCTCAAAAATCAAAAAAAAAATTATTTACACAAATAACATTTTTATTTTTGTACTTAAAATAGTAAGAAATAAATTTATAAATTAAAATATATTTTTTTTTTGTCTTTGAAATATATTTATGTACATATCACTAATATTTTAACTATTGTTATGGGTACCTAAAATGGTTTGGCCTCGGTTCCTAAATTATCATAATCTGGGCTTGTATACATCATAGGCCGAATCATTGCATCAACATAAATAATCAAAAATCATAACTAAATACATAAGTATAATCGCATTAAGACAACTTTGCCTTTTGTGCTGTGCACGTACAATTATTTCATGATTTAGCAATAGGTATTTCATATCTATTATATCAAACTATTGTTTATTTAATTAATTGATAGCACGATATTCGGTTCTACCTAATGTAATTTAAAGCTGAAATCATGATTCACAGTATATTAATATCGATAAATAAATACAATTTAATTTTAATCATACTAATAATCATGCATTATTTTAGAAGGGCGCATGCCAATTAGAAATATTTTAAAAGTAAGGGTTACAACCGTACACCCTGACCCCTCCTCTAAATTACGTCCCTGAATAGTTATATAATAAATCAAATATATTTGAGTCTGGGAGGAATCAGGCCTATTCTAGGCTAATCTAGACTCCTTCGCTAAATTCGCCACTGCTTCAAATGCATCATGATACTTTTGTTGAAATACCTTTTTTGAGCTCGTATGAAGTTCGATCACTACCTGATATTTATCCATGTGCAGTTAGTTTAACCATTACCTTTTTTTCAGCCCAAGTGAAATTCGACTAAAATAAATGCAGTTCAACCGTGTTCTAAAAACGTTCTACTAATTTAAAAATAACTATAGTGGGGTCTAGATTTTTTATAATAACTCGTAATTTTAGTTGTATGTCGTTGATAAATAATTTCCCGAATTTGTTTACTGATTTAATAACTAGATAACTAGTAAATATATATGTTGGATGATTTTTTTTTTTTTTTAAATTATGTGTACGATGTTAAATAAAGTAAGTATTAAATATACGAGTAATATAACTCAATATAGATGCATGTATGATTTTTCATTATTATAGTAATAACTGTTCAAATTATTAATAGAAATTGTATATAAGTAGACTTTAAGGAGTAATGTATTTTCTTTAGCTAGAAAACATATAAATAAATTAGGTTTACACAATATGTATTATATGATTATTATATTTAATTTATTTAAATTACAATCACATTAGTAGATAAACAGTTATAAGCGTATTATAATATAAAATGTTATTTTATGAGTAATATGCCTACTGGATAATACCCTATACTCGTATTATTCTTAAATATTGACTAATATACGACAGGTTTTTTAAAGAAAATGTATTATACACCAGACTAATTTTAATTAAATGTATGGTAATTTTTAAGTACATTCATGATATAATTATGCACATTTTACGTATATTAAATGTGAACTGAAATTTATCAACTGATATAAATTAATACAAAGTCAAGTGGTAAAATAATCAAACTAATAATTCTTTAAATTCCGTGGATATTAGGGATAATTATTAATTCAAGTTCAATGTATGTGATTATACCACAACATTAGCAATAATTTTTAAATAAATAATCACATTATTGAATAAATCTTTGCTTCCATATTTTAATTATTACAAGTATTTGATCTTTTGATTATTCAAATTGCTATTTACATTTTTTTCTTAGTAAATACAATTACATACACTATTGAATAGATATTAATTATATTTTGTGTGTTATGAAGAATATATAGGATTTATATCATAAATTATTTTTTTAAGAATTTTTTATACTGATAAGGAATGTGATATAAAATTCACATTAAGACTAAATTACATATAAGTAATTGTAAATATAGTTGAATTAACAATTTGAATGACAATCCCCAATGGTTTAAAAGTTTTGAAAAAATAAACATTTAATCTTATTCATCTGTTGTAGTTTAAACAATAATAATTACATTTTATTTGTGTTTTATATTTTATTGTGATTTGTCTCAAGTCTTTTTGCAAATATTATATTTTATAACTATGCAATGAAGATTAAAGTATTGTAAAAACGTTCTTCGAATCATGAGTAAAATATTTTAAAACATTATTATTATTATTTTTTATTCAATTTTATTTTCTATGTACAATGTGAAATTCCTGGCTTGGGTTATCTAGTGATAATAATTATATTTAAGTTTCGTTTTGCTCAAATATAATGATTAATATTAATAATAATAAATTAACATTTGTTATAATGTAAGTGATTAATGGCTTGAACGCTAAATGTATTTAAATAATTAGGTTATGGAGGCTTCCTCGTCTAAGATGATGTTGAAATGGTGGTGGTTTATTAAAGAAATTATTCATTGAACCCGTTAACTTCGAATTGGAATTGAAGAAACTATCAGTAAAATTTTTAACGTAGTATGAAGTTTTGAGATTTTATGAATATTTTGATTTCTTACAATTTATGGAGGACTTGAAATTATTGTTTCAAAACATTTATAGTTTTTTTTTAAGTGAGTTAGTGCACATCGTCTTAAAATAAAATAAGCATATGTAAGAAATGGGCCTAGTACTTGCTTATAAATAAGCAGAAAACATTTTTTTTTTAAACTAGATTTCTTATTTACCATAGGGAACAGCAATGCTAGGCGTTGATGAGCTTGTTGAAACTTAGATCATAAGTGTGGTCCCCTGGTAATAATTTGTCGAACGTTACATAAAGATACTTAACGGTCGGGTTCTAAGAGAGTTACGATTCTACGTTCACGATTCTACGTGTTCAATACGTATATCAGAATAAATTAAAACGCTTAACTAAAATATCCTATTAAAGTAACTATAATAGTTCAATGGATTTAAATTCACCAGAATTATTGTAGATTTTTGGTATGAATTTTTGGGCGTGCTCGTGAGCGCTGTCAATCATTCCAGTCATGTACATGTTATATATGTGTGCAATGAAAATTAAGAATTTTTCATAAATGATAAATGTGTATAAAGTATATAAATACCAATTTGAACCTCTTACTAGATTCTTCATAAGCTCTGAAGAGCAGTTGAGATTTGTCTCAATTGTTGGATGAAGGTAAAATGAAGTATTATTTCAAACTAACTATGGGGTTGATTACCAAGAACGAACACTTGACAAAAATTAAAAGCAAAAGAAAAACTTCAAACGTTTGTTTTAATTTTGAAAACCTTGAATTGTTGGTAATTTGGTTTTTCCTCACTTTAAGATTATTTTTAATTAAAATTTATTCTTTTCTATTACCATAATCAATTAAAAAAAATCACTTAAAATTATTCGCTGATTCATACTAAGGATTCGAAAACATTATAATATGTAATTAAAATTATATGTATCATAGTTAATATTTTACAATAAAATATAATTAATTCAAACTATCTACGAAAACTATAGGTAAATTATTTTATTTAAAACTGTCGAATTATATTGAAAAATATATACCTCGAATCAGAGGTCGTCTCGGTTTTACAAATAGATAGTGTACTTCAAAAATTGATATATGTATCAGTGCTGAAATATTTTAAAAATGCTAATAAAAATGGTTTTCGGAATATTTCTTTACATCT